CAGGAAAATGTATAAATAAGTGATGCTTTTTAAAAAGCAGGTTACAACTGAAGCTGGTTGATCATGGACATCCAAATAAACTTTTTGTAAAATTCTGGCTCGCTAATTAAAGTAATTAAAAAAATACTTTGCTATGTTTAAGGTGGTAATGTTATACCTTTATTTGCTCCCCAAAGTGAAAAAATAATAAACTTTTCGTAATGAGCAATTTAAAAACTGCATGGCTAAGTACAGTCAAAAAGCGCGAGGATGAATCGATTCAGTTTTGCAAGTTAGCTTAAGCTACGCAGATTGAACTGATAAGTAACAAACATTCACTTTTGATTCTAGAAATGCAGCCAGATGCTTGCAGTAGCCCAGGCCAAGAGCTGAGGGCACTAGAGCACAGCTCCCTGCTCAGCAGAGAGCTTGGGCCAAGGCTAGCCTGCCAAGCTTGTGAGAGGGAGTATGCAAGGGAGGTGCAAACTGTGAGTTAACTTGAATCTGGAAGGGATCTGGGACAGAAGTTCAATAAACTGATTTAACCTAAACCAGTTTAAGACTGGTACTACATGCATCCAGGTTTATCTTAAACAAGTTCTGGCAATTTTGAAAGCAGTTTATGTGCACTGAACTTCTGTTGTGTTACAGATTTGAAATGGTTTCCGATCCTTTATAGAGGTTTGTGTGTAATTTCTGCCCCCAGCCCAAGTGTTAAAAGGCAGAACTTCTGCTAAGGTTTCATTTGTTTCTCTAAAGCACATCATCCCCAATAAATCAAACCAACCTTTATATATGCACTGGGGTAAATCTTGTGAACAGCATCTCCTGGCGCCCGCCCAGCTTCTCTGTCCAAGTAGTAGCTCTGAACGAAGACTGCATGGTCACTGAGGCACCTAACCCACACATCACCTTCACCTTTACATTCCAGCTGCACCCCTTTACCTATGTGCAACCTTAAAGAAGGAAAAAACTGAAATGTTTATATGGTCATGTATTATGAGTTAGAACCTTACTATGTGAGCTACAAACAAATTAGTGGTCTCATTAATCCACTATAGCACAATCAATTCTAGTCTAAAGATTTTCCTTAAAAGAGGGATAATTCATTTTTTCCAAGAAGATTAGATTTGCTGAAGCCTTGACGGATTGTACTCAGTAAGTTCTAAAAAACAGTACAAAGATATTTCACATATGCATTGTCCTGTAGATTTTTTTAAACTCCAATAGGAGTAGAGGAGAGGAAAAGCAATGCTGGTCAAGAAACATTCATAAGTAACTGCACCTAAGCTCATGGAAGCATTCCAAAAAGTGTCTGAATAGTTGCAATATTTGGATTTCATATTTCAGCAAAACAAGAATCCACAGCAAGAAGAGCTCTAATAAAAGCAATCCAAGTAAATAGCTGAACACCAGAGTTGAGCTTTTTGTACACATCTCCAATGCCATGCTCCCCAAAGAGCACTGTGGTCTTTCAGGGATGCCAAAATATTATTTACGATAATTCAAACTAAGAACCTGAAGTCAGAATATAAAGACAGGAATAACATTTTTATTCTGTAGGAAGAGGATTGTAATCACAAGGACAAGACTCTAAAAGTTCCTGCAGCAAAACTTCACACGTACAAATGACAAAAATCTTACCTGCTTGGCCTCATCTGTTCTGACCAACCAATCTACTTCTTTAGTCTCGTCTTATCCCACCCTGCCCCCTTCTCAGAATAGTTGCCTATCCTGTTTTGGGCCAACCCAATAAGTTTCTCTTAAAAGCAGCTAACATCACGAGACATGCCTGGACCACAGATGCACTTCTGTGAAGGCTGAACCCACCCAAAGCAGACATACATTATTGCAGCATATTAAAAGAAATCCTTTTGAAATTGCAAGTGCAGCAAGATATATACCAAAAGCAACTTTTAAACAATATATGGTCTAAGAAATTACTCGAGTTTCCATAGGTTCTGTAAGATACCTTGCTCTCTCAATGGCTTCTGTTCTATGTACATTGGAAAGCTGGCCCAAGCAAAAGCGGTCTCCGCCAGAAGGGTCCACATATCCATCAACCGTAACAACTGGACAGCTTGAAGGAACTTTAAATGTCTCCCCAACCTGCACATCCATTTCAAAATAAGCAATCGAACACCAGTACTCTGGAGCTAGCGAAGATAAACAGACTGAAATAAGTCAATAAAAATCTTGCAAAACCATTAGGAGACAATGAATTAGAACTTCTGTATTGCACTTGACAGTTAAGAGTGCTGGCATAAAAGTCAGTAGAAAATTTAACTAGACACATTTGCATGCACTTTCAATTTTACATCCAGTATTTGTTAATAAAAAAAGTTAAAGCAGAAGACATGAAACTCAGCAGAAATAAGACCATGGCGATTTAAGCTTACAACTGCATTCAACAATTATTCTAAATACACTTTGATGTCAAAGTATTTGCATTTAATTATCCTTATATACGTGTAGTTATGACATTCTGAGGGATCTAGGTACAATTTACGAAATCCACTCTTAACAAAATATCTGCATCTTGTCTTTATGACTGCCTTATGCTTTGTGCTCCTATGGTAAGGAGACATGCAAGTGGCACTGCTACCCATGATTAGATTGATCATTAAAGACTATCAGGCCCTGAGGAGACCTTAACTGAGAGACAAAAAGAAATAACTGCATTCTAGCTGCCACCAATTTTCTCCTGTCTCAGCATAAGAAAGTAATGCTGGTATCTTCGCTTTATTTAACTACTCAGTGTTAACTGCACTCAGCCAGGATGTGGGAGATCCGA